ATTTATAACATTCTTAGTGCCATGGAGAAATAATGCATCAAAAAGACAGAGTATTGCGACCCTCCAGTGAGTTGCATAATTAAAGTTCATAATTTTTTAAATTCTCAATATCTCCTAGTAAGAGGAATGTGACATTTGTTTTCTAGGTCTTCTCCCTTCTCTAATTATTTACCACCCCTCTCTGAAGTACAGAGTATAATATAAGTTACTTACTATGACATAGACATTACTAAGGCAAAGTTTAATTATTATATCCTTTAATCTTTTTTGTTTATAAAGCCATATATTAGAAACTCAGACCCACTTGACACTCCCACCTGTCACATTCTCTCTTTCACAGATTGCCAGTATTCTAAGACATCCTTGCCTCCCCTCACCCTGATAGCTATTACTCTACTGCCAAGGTTTCCTTTTTTTTTGCCCATCTAAGCATTGGTTTGATTTTTTTTCTTGCTTGCTCCAGTATTTTTATACATCACTTAGTTGCCCTTAGCGATATTTATCTCGTGACCCTCTCCACCTACGTCAACGTGCTCTCTATCCTGGTACTGTATATAAGCACCTCATTCAGATAATATTATCACTTTTTCTCTACAAAGTGTTACTAATGAGTTTCCCAGTAATATGATCGTTTGTAAATACTTTGAATGTTATCCGTGTTATCTAATTGATTTTCGTGATAATAATTTAAGGAAAAACAAAACATATATACATATTTTTTTTATTCTCATTGGCAAGCTGATTTACGGTATGAATTCCCTGATTATTTAATTTATTTTTGGTGTGAAGGTAAATCAGGCCTGTCTTATCCCACCTGATATCTAGCGTCTCACAACAATTGGGGTGGGGGTACCTCTTGGTTGAGACTGTCAGGGATATTATTCGTAGTGAAATGGAGATATATATATATTTGGTTCTGTGTTGGTCCTCTGGGGGGCTTTAGGGCTGCAATTGAGGGCTATCCTTGACATTCTGGAGAGAATTTAGTTTCACTTTTTCCTGTTATAACCTGCTGTCATTCTAGAAAAAGTAAAAGGTAATTTAGATTTATTTCAAATAATTTTTATGGTGGTTACAAGTTTTGTCAAATCAACCAAGTCTGTATAGAGTTAGAGTAGAGAATATAACAGATAAAATATAAATTTCTACTGAAAACAACATTTATTTATGAGATTTTATAGGTTATGCAAAAGATTTGATTTTCGGATGAAGAAAAGTATTTTTAATATTAATATGAAAATCACTTTGCACTTGGAGCAGTCAACACTCTGACTCCATATTTTTACATAGAAATCTTCAGCAAAAATACTTAAATAAAAAATCTGATTTTTATGTACTAAAGACTTGTAAGGTTTATTGATAGCTTGCCAAACTTTGTAAGGATACTCAAACCATATTAAGAGTTATAATATGAAAGCTCTGATGATTACTTTGTGGTTACAAAGTCAGCTGTCACATCAACTGACCCCTGTATGGAAGATTTCATCCAGTGCAATAACATATATTCCTCTCGTTATGAGAATGAAATACTATTGTATTAGTGTAAAGGGACGAAATACTTAATGGAGTGTTAACACTTAATATCATAACAATAAATGAAACATTAACTGAATGTCCATATGGTCACTGCATTGGATCAACCTATATTGGAAAAGTAATGTTGTCTATAATTTCTAATCTATAAAGTGTATCTTTAGTGACAAGGGAGCTTTTTGGAATGGATGATTTGTACTTAAATAGGGTAGGGGCTGACTTGTTTGCAAGGGCTATTAGTTCAACTGTAAGAGTGCCTTTAAACTAAGATTAGGCAGTGTAGAGAGGTATAGTGTGGGAATAATGTACAAATGTAGTTTTAATGGCAGCCTAAAGTGTTATTATTCTAATGATAGAAGTATAAGAAATCAAATGAATGACTATAGAGCACTGATTAAAATGGAGGATTTTGATATAATGGGAATAACTGAAACCTAGCAAAGTATAGATAATTTTGATGATTAAACATTTTTTATTTTGAAATACGAGGTTGTTAAATATGGATAGAGTACTAAAACAGAGCATAGGAGTGGCTTTATATGTAAAATGTGAGTTATAGCCAGTTCAGGTTGGGGATGTCAAAGTTAATAGCAATGAGATTGAATCTATTTTGGTTTCTATTAGTGGTTATAAGGGGAGAAGGCTTTTACAGAGCACCAGATGAAACTGATGAAATTAATGAGAAACTATATGGTAGGATAAGGAATTCAGTTGTTAATGAGGTTATAATTATGGAAGATATTACTTTTAGGCATATAGGTTGGGAAATGTTAGAATCAAATCATGAGGGAGACAGTTTTTAAGATTGTTTTTCAACAATTGACTAGGGAAGTATTAGAAACAATGCTATTTTAGATTTGTTGTTAATTTCTAATAAAGAAATGGTTGATAGGGTAGAGATTGTGGAAGATCTGGGTGCAAGTTATCGTTGCTAATTTTGATTTGATGTTTGTTGCATACAGAGATAAGAATGATGAGATTTTGGTTCCAAGTTTCAAAAAAGCAAATTTTGAAAAGATGAGACAAGAATTATCAGCTGTGAATTGAGCAACTGAATTAGTTAGAAATACCAATCAAATGTGGAAAAGTTTAAACATAAATTCTTAAATATTGAAGATAGGTTTGCTCCTTGTAGACACAAAAAGAGTTGGCTCACAAAGATTAAAGAAAAGCATTATAAATATTAGAATTTTAATTTGTCTACAATGTTGGGGGATTTGGAGGATTGTAGAAGATTGAGAGAGTTGGTCAAATTGGAAATTAGAAAATAGAAAAAAAAAGTATATGAAAAATTGTTGGCTGACAATGTAAAAATTAATATTAAGGATTTCTTAAAATATATTAAGGGTAAGCAGAATGTTAAGATGGGAGTAAGGTCTTTGAGGGATGATACAGGAAGGCTAATACCTGATGATTATGGTATGATAAATAAACTTAGCATTCAAAAAATTGTTTAATTTTGAACTCTAATTGCAAGGTAAGTCCAGTTCAATCTACACTTTGATCAACGTGTGTTATTGGGTTATTCTAGTTTCGGAGAATTCCACTCCTCATCAGTAACCCTGAACACAAGCTAACCAAAGAGAGATAACCTGGACCTATATCATAGTGAAAAGTATCAAACATACTGTTGGTGTGAATGTGCTACAAAGCATGTTCACACCAACAGTATATTTGAATATGGTATGGCTGGGTTATTAAATTCTACCTTTTGTTTGGTTTCAACCAATAAAGATTGAAACAATATTTCTCATTCTGAACAATAGCTATATAGAAGGAAGATTAAAAAAAAGACCATCACATTAATTCTGTTAAGAAAAAATTGGGAAGTTTAAAGAATGATAAAGCTCCTGAATCAAAGAATATATATTCAAAGGTTTTGAAAAAGGTTATGGACTGGATATGGGAGCTACTCGCTACTATTTTTCTAATTTCTTGAATAGTGAACAGGGGCCAGAAGATTGGAAGTTAGTTAATGTTATTCCTATTTTCAAGGGAGGTAATTAAAATTGTCCAAGTAATTATAAGCCTATTTGTCTTACATCAGTGGTGGGAAAAGTTGGATAAAAAAGTCTTTGAAAAAGTTATTGCTTATGTTGATGAGGTTAAGGGTGTATGTTTGGTGTATCTGGATTTTTAGAAAGCATTTGATGAGATGCCACATAAAAGGCTTGTGAAAAAGTTATCTGTAAGTGTGGAGGATAGGTTGGCCCATTGGATAGAAAACTGCCTAGATGGAAGAAAGCAGAGGGCTGTCATAAATGGAGTTCAGTCAAACTGGATTAATGTCATAAGTGGGGTACTTCAGGGCTCAGTGGCAGGACCTCTGATCTTTTTTGATTTACATGAATGACATATTTGATGTGTTGGGTAAATAAATGGCAGATGACATTTAATTATAATAAATGAAAGGCAATGCATGTGGGATATCACAATTTGAATTATAAGTAAGATTTTGATGGTTAGGCTACACTTGGAGTTCTGGTTCAGTCTTAGGCTCCTTACCTTGGAAAGGGTGCAGAGAAGGGCTACTAAGGTGATATCTGGGATGGAAAGACTATCATAAAAGGATAGGTTAAGATCTTTAAACTTGTTTTCTCTTGGAAAAAGAAGAAATAGGGGATATGATTAAAATGTTTTAAGATTGTTAAGGGAATTGATAGTGTTGATTTATGGTCTTTTTTATATTTCATGGTGAGAATGATAAGACTAGAGGGACACAAATATAAATTTTTGGCAGAGTAGGAGTCATCTTTAACAAAGACAGCTTTGTTTTTCTAACAGTGAAATCTTGGAATTTTAGTGGCTGGCATTGAGTTTTTTAGTGCTTAGGTGTACAAAAAATCATATGCATTAATAGACATTTTTGTACTAAAGATAATATGTCTGTGAAATTAAAGTCAGTCTAACTAACAAATTGATGTGCAAGGTGATGTTCATGTGAAGAATAGATATACTTTTGTCCATTGTCCAATTTGCATACTTTATAACCTCGTAAATGCATATCTAGAGTATTTTTAAGATCTTTGTATATTATACCTGGTAATTTTTTTACTCTAACACAAACTGTTGCCAAATCAGCAATTTAGGATCACACGAAATTTTGATAATTCTGATATCAAATGCATAATACCATTTTGAATAGCATTTTGTACAAGGTCAAGACATGCACACTTTGACCCTTGCCCATGTACATAGAGTTAGCAATACATTTTTACTAATATTACATTTCTGTCAGAAAAAATTAAATATTTAACATGACCAAAATTCAAATTTTGTATCTATTTTAACTGTGCAGATATAGCTAGATTAATTACTCAAATTCATGCTGTGAATTGTAAAAATTGTTGATAGAAGTATTCGTTTTTAAACAATAGTGATAAATTTTCCTAACCTCCTCAGCTATGTTTATACTAATTTTATTTTAGTCATTTATTTTATTTTCTCTACCTAGCTTATCTATTAATCATTGTATTATACAGTTTAAAGATGCATCATATTGATATGTTGCAGAAGAAACATTATTATAAATGATGTGTAATAAATTTGTATTCTTCAGTCTAAGATATACAGCTGATATATTTTTAAATAGTAAATCTGATTTGTTACTCTATACATCAAAAGATTCAGTGTAGTAATGTAAGCTTCCAAATCAACTTATGAACAAACTATTTAGTAACTTCTGAGCTCAGAATTATATGTAAGGTTTGTAAGCTTTGAAACCCATATGAAAATCTTAATAGAAAAATTTATAATCTTCATTTGCCTTCTAATTTTTTTTTTTACTGAATATTCGGTACAATGGCAATGGAAAACTTTTTTCCATTTGTAATTTTGTTAAGTAAGTATTCAAATCCCATTCAAATAAATAGACTTTAATAGGCAATATATTGTAATGTTTTAATTTTCTACACCTTTAAGTTGATTTTTTGGTTGCATATTGATATTGAACTTATTTAAAAGATTTTTTATCTAACTATCCAAGAACAGACATATAACAACAACTTTAAGTATCTTTGCAACAGTGTGATGATTAATATCATTATATTTAACCTTTTAATAACTAGTATGGAATATGTGTTTATCTTGACATATTTTTGTGATTTATTTTTCTAAACCTACATGCAGTTTGTGAGATACTGCACTAGGACTTTGGTCTGACTATAAAAGTAGGTTATTCTCTGCATATTGTCTTGCTGCCTTTCACCCCAGTAGCCAGCCTTTGAGGAACAAAGAGGAATTAGAATTCCAGACAGTGTGGTAGCATAAAGTTGTGTTATAAATAAAGAATTTTGTTTCTGATTTACTTGTGTTTACTTATCTGCTATTTTTCTCTGCTGTCCATGTTTAAAAGTATCCTCTGTGTAACATTTCCTGGATCTGCTTTATTGCAAATACTTTTAGCTACCTGTGGGAGTTGCCACAACAGTATAGTTCTTTGTGAACACATCTAAGTGGTGGCTACAGACTATCTTACCTACACTTTGTCTTTTATTTTTTAATCCATTCTGTGTTGTAGTAAAAAAAAACTTTTTATATATCATACCAATGTAGTTTGATTTTTTTCATTACATAAAGAGTTTTGGCAGCTTTAGTTTACCTCCATCATGCAGCATATTGAATAATTTTTACTAACCTGTCAGTTATTCTCTTTTACCTAGGTCAGATGTTTTGTACAGAACAACTTCAGTTCTGTACAAACAGAAGAAGAAAGTGAAATAACAGTGAGCTCTGGAATAATAAGTAAAGCATCTTCTTCTATCAAGCCTAATGAGAATTTTACAACATATGTAGAAAATATAACAGTTAAGTAGAAATGTGGAACAAGACATCAACTACAATAATTTCTTCTGCACATAACTGAAACAAAAAAGTTATGCCTATTCAGAAATATGGAATAAAACATTAAGTACAATAATGTCTTCTATATATTATTCTGAACTGGGCAATTTACTGAACAGTCATTATCTATATCGCCTGCTTTTCTGAAATATAAAACTTCAGCCTTTGAGAAATGTGAACAATAAACAAAATAAACCTTTCTGTGTATGTGATTCTGAAATAGAAACAAATGTGAACTGTTGATAGATGTACAGTAAGGCACTAGGTACAATATACTACTTGTTTCAAGTTCTTGTTTTCCCACAAGATATTAAATCTGTTATGTGCTGTCAGTGGCTTACGATAGACGATGATCTTGTATAGATGTACATGTAATGTTCAGAATTGATTTAGTACAATGTATGTGTACATATATTTAAATTCAGATAAATTTTTGGTAACCTTTAAGCAGTGAATATTTAAAAATATATAAAATGAGTAATGATTTCATAATCAAATCAACTAATGTAGAAATATAAACTCGGGTGTGTTGGTTGATTGGTTATACAAATGATAGCTAAAATTTCCTCAGATGGATTTAAATCAGCTCAAATGCAGAAAAAATAAATAAATCATACTTATAAGTGACACTTTAAGGTGTTGGTTACTGTAAAGGATTTATTTCAATTTTGTCTTTTTGAAAACTAAACTGCATGCACCCAGGATAATGACATTAGTAATGGAACAGAGCTCAGTGACATGAGGCTTCATTTTCATTTTAAACAATTGGTTAGGAATAATCTCACAAACAAAAATAAAAAAAATAACTGAATAATGCTGTCAGGCATATTTAACACTTATAGCTATACAATAAATGTATTATTATATATGTATATATTCAAATGATTATATTTTTATCATTAATCTTAGAATGTTTTATAGGAGATAGGTGATTTAAACTTTTTTAGATGTTTTGGAAATAAGGTTTAACTTTCAAGGTCGTTTTTGTCATCTCATATGTTACATTAATTGGAAGTTTATTTAATAAGAATTTTGTGCACTATTATTTGAGTGAATTATGTCATCATTTGAATTATATATGTTTAAACAATAGAGATATTTTTAGAATGATGTAGAACTTGATAGCATGGACCGTGTGTTTGTACACATATAAAATAGTTTTGCTTAAAATGAATATTTAGTGGCATTTTTTTATATTTTACATTTAGATTCTTCTTTCAAAATGACATTTGAAACTGAATTAGGTTTTTTATTTATCATATGTAACAAACAGAAATAGTTGCAAAGTGAAAGAGATTCTAAATCATGTAATGCTTAGTACAGTAGTGTCCATAATTGCAACCTATGATTTTTCCAGTTGTTAATGGTATCTTCTTAAACTATCATATTGTGGAAAACGTTTATCAAAACTTAATGTAATTGAGAATACTTGATAAATCTTTGTTGTTTCTGTATTACATTATAAATTTTCATTTGAACAGAAACTTGATTTTGAGGGCTGAAATGTATATATGAGTTTAATTTGTGTAAAGCAGGCCTTGACAAATCTCAGGGTTCAGGTCGCCATGGTAACTAAATATTTCATCATGACACTTAGTATTTTCTCCCATTTTATTCTTGCGTAGGGCTGTGATAAATAGAACTCGAATCTAGAACAGTTTTGGACTCTTGGAAGTCCAGAACTATTTCTGCATTGTTTTAGTCCTACATCAAACTTTGCTTCTAGGATTTTAATGACAGATTCAGCACTTCTTCATGATTTTTCAGGAACGAAGCACTGTGGTTGTGCAACACGTTACTAATTTTATGCCATTTTGTTTTTCTTCTTTCTCTCAATTAAACCAATCACTACATATGTTTAGACTCGTATGGGACCAAAGGCAGTTAGTTTAGGCAATACTGTGAAGTGGTTGTTGATATCATGTGATTGTTAGCATGTACTCCTTGCTGTGAAAGTAAATAAATATACACTGTTTAATATGCATTGTATAATCTAAATAATACTTTTCAATATATTTAAGTTCTTTGTTTTAAATTATAATATTTTTTACTGTTGTTTAATCACATTATCTTAAAATTATAAAAGTTGTCATAATCATAAAAGCCAAGTGTTGTCGGTCACGCTTGATTTCTCCAAATTTCATGAGTCACCCAAGTCCAATTCCATTTTTTTTCTCTTATGATACTTCTTCATTTTAGTTGACTTTAATTGCTCACATAGGCGTTAGTAGCTCCTAAATTTCGTCACTTTTTCTGCTATAGACATGGAAGAGCATTTCCATTCTTTCAATGCCTGTGAAAAATAAGTAAAAAATTAGTGCAGATCTATGCTTGGGAATTACTATGAAAAAGCCTTTGTTAAAACAGACTGAAGATACCAGTTATCTGTAGGGATGAGGACAATGTGTAACTGGGCAACACCCCCAACACAACCTGAACATGCATGCATCTGTGATTAAATGATGCCCACAGTGCAGCAAAGAACAGTGGATGACAATTGAAGTTGAGTGAAATCTTGATGTGTATTTGGTGTGTTTTTTATACTATGTTTTTAATCACTAATCAAATAAAGTTAACCAAGCTACAAATATTTTGTATTCCTGTCTTAACAGCTAAAAATAAAAGAGGCTAGGCTTGAACCAGCTGACTTACGATTTGAACACACGCCAGATCCTGCACATGAAAACCCCAGATATCATACAACACATGAATTTTTCCAACCAAAATTAATTTCTGGGTGACAATTTCTCCAAAACATGTAAATTGTTGTTCAAAATTGTAGTGGCACAATTATTTTGAGAAAATTGGAGGAAAAGAAAAACCGCAAATAATCGAAGATCACGGGTAACAGAGGCATAGATAATCAAAGTACTAGTGTAACCCCCATTTCCCAGTACAAACAGTAGTGAAGTTAGGTTAGGCACACCTGGCTCCTGAGTTTTTGAGTTCGATCCTAGATCTGAAAATATTTTTCAAGACCTGGTGAAAAGCATTGTCAAATGATCAGCTTTTATATACTTGTAATGTCTTCTTCTTTTTACATGTTCCTTAGAGAGGAAAAAAAAACAGTTGTTTTTAAAATCTGGAGAGGATTAGCTCTCCCAGGTTTTAATGTGGGTTAGCTGCCCCCTTCAGCTTATATGCTTTGGTGTGAGGTAATAGATCTTATTCTTCCACTTTATTATTTTTGCAGTTTAATTTCTACAGCTTCCCCTGTCTTTCTTTCAAGATGTTTATGTTTCAGTGGGAACCAACTTCATTTGCTAAACAAAAGTTGCGTATAACAATAATAAACCTGAGATATAGCATATGAACAACAAAGGACTGTTTGGTTTTTGCACACCCATCTTTGAGAAAAGTAAAAATGTCAACAAATCTCTTACTTTTCAAGGAATCATCAATTCTTTTAAATTCCATATAGTGATGGCCTCCACTACTGCAGTAATGGCAACTCATTACATGAGTAAATCACCCTGTTAGTAAAATAAAACTATTATAATAGAGCCTAGCCTGTCTTAAACTTGTGTCTTCTCATCCTACTACCTTCAGAATACAGCATAAGTAAATCAGAGGTCTTTATTCTATTGATCCCCTGATAAATGCATACATTTCAGGAAGATACCCTCTTACTTTTCTTTGTTTTTAAAAAAAGAAAATAATTTAAGAGATTTTAACCTATTCCTAAGTCAGGGTTTTATATAAGAGTGGGCTGGAATTCTTCTACAGTAGGTGACTGTGACTTGTTGGTAATAAATTTGGACAATAAATGGACAGCACACAATCCACTTATTTTAGAATATTGTATATTCAAAACAAGTCAAACGTACATACAAAAATTCTTTACACTATAGGAAATCACAGTTTTATCTAAAACTCTAAATAATTTTCTTATCTTGTCAAAAGTTCACACAGGCTGATTCAATTACTTTGGAATCCAATTGACAAGATGAATTATTTTCTCTGTTCTTATCACAATAGTATCAGTGAATAATTCACTTACATTACTCCATGGGTTACCACAGTTGTATCCTGAACTATAATTATATGTCTCCTTTTCATCAATGTCACACAGTCTGGTTCAATTACTTTAGAACACCCCATGGACAAGACAAATTATTCTCCTTATCCCTGTTAAACTATGATACTCACTCTAAGATATTACCCATTAAGGCTAATCATTCAAATGATGTCTAACTTCACTTAACTTGTGCTCGCTTGGGCTCCTATATATATATTTTTTTTTTCAACTGAGGCCTCGAACTTTCTACAAACTAGGAGACGCTGTGATGTAACAATACTCGCATAACGAGAAAAACTTGGAGGTTTCAAGAAAGATGATGTCAACAATACTACAACAATTGAACTATATACACAACGTGCAACTCTTACTGAGTTACATAACAAAACTTGTCATAACTCTTACTTTTAAAATAATTAACTTTTAACACTTGTTATGAAAACTAAATATTCATTAAATCACAAAATAAACTAAATAATAACTATTAAGCTAAACAGTCTCGTATATCCAACACCCTACAATATAACCTTTTTATCCACAGAATCATCTTAGTAGCCATCTTCTGAACACTTTAAATAAGTAAATCTACCTAATCTCTCATTAGGTAGATAAGAAGATCAAAACTGTACACTGTTCTACATGAGACCCAACTAGAGATTTGTATAGAGAAATAATTAACTGTTTTAGGCTTGTAATAAATATATCTATAAATATACCATACAATTTTGACAACAGAGCACTGTCTCAATGGTGTGTCTCCATGTCTTATTAACAGCTGTTGATTCTTCACAGTCTTGACTGTAATGGCTAGGTTTCTCACATCTATAACAGTTCCCTTTTTCGACATTCTTTGGAAGGAGTTTTTATTTCTTACAGGCTTTTTGTCTCCAGTTTCTGGTAATATGCCCTTTCAACTTGTGCTTTAAACATCTATTGTTTTATGGTTGATGCTTATTTTTTCAATTCTTTGTAATTAGTTGTTTAATCAACCCTTTTAATTCTCCTAGACGTTTGCCAGAGGGAGTTGATAATTCAATACTACTTGATCTGATGATCCTGTAATTTTGAAATGATGTCTTCATTTGTGTATCTGTGACTTTAATGGAATTAAATTTCACCACCAACTGCACAGCTTTCTTTAGAGATGTGCATCTACTTTGTTTTGGCCTAATTCTGATATCCTCATCTGTTATAGCATTTACAAGTTGATCAGATGCCAATGAATCTATCATTTTATGTGGAGCATCTGGGTAAGATATTGGGCAAGTCTTTCCAAATCTTATGTAAGTTTGAATAAAGTTCCATAACTTTGCTGTAGATACCTCTTTCTGGTGTGTCATTCTAAACCTGTTGGATGAGGCAGTTACAAATGCTTCATAATTGTTATGGCTCTCAGCTATAAGGTTAGTTAATGATATTAAAGCTGGTCCCTTTAAATTGGCAACAAGATGGACATTTTGTTATTCACTATTCCACCTGTTCACTGTGGAAATTATTTTAAACTAAGCATATGTGATATGCCTCCCATGGTACCTTTCCATAGTAGTCCCTTGTTTCTCAATTGGACAGTATTGTTGAATTGGCTAGCTAAATTCTGGAACTGGGTTTGATAGTGACATAGCTTTTAGGAAGATCCTGCAATGACAGATGACACAGTAGTAGTGGTAATAGGTGTAGACCCAATATATATAGTCCTATTCCATATTTTGTGATAGATGGTGTTTTAGGTTGAAACTATTGGGCAGAGGTAAAAATTAACAATTCTTTTTCCAGGTGTTTTATTTTGTCATTGATGTTCTTTTCTACCTCAGTGATCTCTTTTTGTGCTAATTCGATTTTATCGTTACAGCCTTTAAATTATTTTTTTGATGTCTTTCTGTACTTCAGTCTTTGTAATCCCTCTTGTACATTTCCAGTAGCTTCATTGATCTTGTCTTCAATCATATTTATTTTTAAATAACTTTTTAGGTCTATAATGTGAGTACCTATATTTGTGTTCAATCATATATTTGAACTATAACCACATAATTTTTTGTTTGTTAAGCTTTTGGCTGACTTACCCAACCACCTATAGGTACAAGACGTTTAGTACACAGCAGGGTCCAAAGAAGCACATTTATTTTTGTTTTTAATTCTTCTTTAAACGTTATGTCTCTTTCTTGTAATTCCTCTCTTTTATTCTTGTTTCTTTCTTCTTATTCTAATTTTCTTCCTCTTTCTTCTTGACCTCTTAATGTTCTGTGCCTTTCTGTTTGTTCTTATTTCCATTGTTTTATCATCTTTATTATTTGGCTTAGTGGAAAGTCAGTAGGCTTATAATTCTAGAGATCTGTGTTTCGATACTCGTAGAGGGCACAGCAAAGATAGCCCACTTTATGCTTAACAACAAACAAACAAATTTTACCTTGCTTTATATGTGGTTATCTTGAAAGTTGAAGTTTAGTCAAAGTTATATTTTATTTTAATCAAAATAATCCCACTTCAGAATTGTAACGTATTCTATCGTTGGGCAGGTTCTTTTGGATTATATGGTAAAAATAACACCATTGAAAATATAGCTCTCAACACTACCTACGAAAACGTTAAAAAAGTCAAAATGTAGGTACACCGCGACTTTATGTAGGCTATGGTTGTAATGTTATGTGCCGATTTGCATATTCAAATTTATTTTAATATAATGTACCTACTACAGTATTATATAGGCTGAAAAACTTAACAAGCGAGATACTGTTTGTAACTAAATTCAAATGGTGCAGTAACAAATCAGCAATGTTGGTCGGGTTCTTTTAAATTATTTGATGAAAAGTCTAGTAAACGTAATATAACAAAGTAGTTTATCTCTTCCTTAGTGTATCTACAAACTGCCTTCACAAGTACACTGTTGTAGCTTGTACGCCTAAGTTTATACGTGACGCTCAAACGTAATGTTACGTCTCCGTTTGTTAATTAACTTTCGGTAA